AGTTTGTCAGCACAGCATGACGGGCGCAGCAACACCTGCAGTTTCTCTGACCGTTACATCATGGCGGCATCAGATTCTAAGGAGACATGGAACACCTTGTATCACCCGTGGCAGTTCTCTCCCTGCAGTGTACGGTACTTCACCGACTACATAACATCACAGCTAAACACACTGTAAGTCCATGTTTTGTTTAGCTATATGAAGTTTATAACATCGTAAATCCGTTTGTTTAGCTCTAGACTTAACGCATGTTATAAATAGTTCTTATGTTAAGGGGGTAGGCTCCGGAAAAAAACGGGTAAAAAACTTTTTTATTACTAAACCTTTTTAAAATTTATTTGTTTATGTATAAGTTAGGGTACTTAAGGGAAAATATTTGCATGTACCAGGGAATGTAAAAGTAACATACAAACCACCCATAAATCATTGATCCTTCTTGTACTAACACCAATAGAGTCAGTTGGCTAGTTTTTGTAACAGAAAAATCGCTAGAAATATTGTTTCAAATTTTCGATGATTTTTATGGTGAAAAACCATTAAATTTAGCATTAATTTCAATGAAATTTCACCGTGCCAAAATTTGAAAATTCAAAAAGAAATATTTCTAGAGTGTTTTCTGTTACAAAAACTTAGCTTCCTTCCTTCCTTATACGGAAATCGGCTCAGAAGGTTGACTTCCATTAGCCAGGCAGGCCTCAGTGTAGCAAACTCCGACCATAAGAGTTTCCCACACATCGGTCGCTACTTCCGTCGGCTCTCACCGGGCTTTCCTTCCCCGCCCACCAGACGCGGGACGTGGGGACGTCGTCCTACCGCCTGGTACCCGGCTTGATCGTGGAGGGCGTTCGGCCATTTTTTCCTTGAGCCTAGCTAGCTGACTCTATTAATGTTAGTAAAAAAGGAATCAATGATTATATAGCCGATATATATATTTTAGTTTATGAAATTTTAGAACTCCACAAAATGCTGTTTTTTTCAAGATGGCCGCCGTTGCCATGGCAACCATATTTTCAAAAGAGTCCCTGATGCTCGCAAATATTTTTCTTTAAGTACCCTTACTTAGATATCCACATATAAATCAGTAAAAAGTTTCAATTAAGAAGTTGTTTTTTTTTCTGGAGCCTACCCCTTTAACCCAACACACTGTAAGCTTATGTTTATTAATTAAACGCTTGCATTAATAATACTATTATCTTAATTTTATTGTTTAGCTTTAATGTACTGAGTCCATCTTTCATTCAGCTTTTGTGTTACTTCATGACACAGAGTCCCCATATTTTCTAAAACGCTAGTGGTAGCTTACTTTCTTTTAGTTCCCTACAGTATGGGCCTAACTTTGATTTCCTCTAAAATAATTATATGGGAAATCATGATCGAGTTTTCCACCGCAAAATTGGGTTATCAAAAAGTGATTATTTCGATTTCAGGGCTCCCCCCCCCCCCTTTTTCCACATAAAAAGTTGCTAGATTATAGAAATCACAGCTTGTTTGCTTGTTGCGTTATTCCCGTATAAAAAAACAACAACTGCAAAATTAAGCTTTAGATCCTAATTGTCTAAAATCTTATTGTGTATCTCAACCTGAAAGCACGGAGTCTTAATGTTACAAGAACAAAATTATATCGGACGTGTTTCTTGATATTTTCCTTTTTCTTCAGGCAAAATTTACCACATTTTAAACTGTTAATAATTGTATTTCACTCTTTCGTTTTAACATTATCAAAATGCTTTATAGCTTTGTCGCTTTAGTGGCAGATTAGAAACTCTTTTTTGTAGTATATAAAACGCTTCCAACCGCGCCAAACAATATTTACAACTGTTACAACACACTGAGCGCTGCGTGGTCGAGTAGTAGCTCACATATTTGTAATCTCGAGAGATATAAAGTTTGATCATCGGTTTTGTAAGCCACATAAACAATGATGAAAAATGTCCGTTGTTTTCTCCTTTCGCAGCCGCGGTTACAACTGTTTAACAGGGAGGCTCCCCATAGAACCTGACATCCCGTACACAGCAGATCAGCTGCTGGGGCAGATGTACACACCAGATCAGCAGTGTCAACTCGTGTACGGCCCTACGTCTTATCTTTGCCGTGTAAGGAAATTTCATATTGCTAAACATCGCTTCACATTAAATCCAAAAACAGTATTTTTTTTCATATCAACGTCTGATAATATCCCTAATGTCCCACACCACAGTAATGTAATATTCCCAAAGCTATTGTTAAGAGAGAAGAATACAACATTACATTCGAAAACATGAAACTATACTAAAACAACGTGAAGTGAATGTTGACATATATATTTGACTACCATATTGTCTCTTAAAATTTATCATGTTAACTAGCAGTACAAAAAAAAAAAACATCGTAAAACGAAAATCATCATACACGGCACATTAAACAAACCAATTATTCAAATTTTGGCGTCTGGGCTAAATTTAGATATAATGGTTGCTAAAATGAAAATTCCCAAGTTCGGATTTCAGAACATATGGGGCTCATTAGATGGGGACAACAACTTATCTAGAAGAGACAACTTCAAAATCAAACAACGGCTGCCTCGTAGTTTCCTATTAGATGAAAAAAGAAAATAGAAGCAAAGCGAATTCAGAAATAAACGCGGAAATTTTAGGGGCATAATCTTTCGACACGTGATACTTAATTGTGTAAGAGGAAATCCTGTTCAACATTGTAATTAAGAAGAAGAAATGAAGATCGGGTAGGAGTCCACTTTCAAAACCTGCTAAGTCACTTTTGGTTGATTTCGAAGAAATTGACTTTTAATTTCTTTTTTTGGTTAGCTATTCTTAGGACTTTTGATATTTTACTGTTATATAATTTATTTTAATGTATACCTTTTTGAACCAAAATTAGTATACTACTTTAATTGCCACTTAATTGAGAAGGTTTTAGGAGTAACTTATTTTCTTCAAAAAGTGTACTTAGCAGGTTTCGCAAGTGGACTCCTGACAGTCATAGTTTGGTAAACAAAATAATAACAATTTCTAGTTTCTCTAGGTAGTTGGTCTATCAAATTTGTTTAAATTAAACATCCGAATCGCCAGTAATTAAATTAGATTAGGTTGGTCCAAATAGATCATAGGCCGACGAAAGTCTTAGGCATTCTGTTCCTTGGCTAGTATCTCCAATTGTCCCTAGTTGTAAATAATCTCTCAGGTTTTTCTTTCCCTTTCTCATGTGATCTCACGTTTTGCTATGCTGGGCGTCTGTTTCGGATTTTATGGTCTGTGGATGTATTTTTGTCCCCAGGGCCTTCACGGCACAGATCCAGCGAGCATCTGCCGTGATATGTACTGCCAGGATCCTGACGACCCAGACATGTGTATAGCCATACGGGCTGCCAGAGGTACCACGTGTGGAAACGGCCGGGTAAATAATATAATCAATGTAGATATAAATGTACCCATTTCAGCGTGACAGTCACGTGTTTCTGTGACTTTTGGTATAAGAGGGGATAATGTCAGCACTTTGACGAGCCGTTTTTAATTTCACTAAAGTGAGCCAAGTACCCAACTGATCCGGGTAAACTCAGGTTCTCGAGCACGTGGTTCGAACTCGAGACTTTCGAGTAAGCAGTAGTACGCTCTACCATTTGACCACACTCGTAACTAAATATAAAAAGAATCCATAAATGACTAGGTAGCTAAAACGGGTAAGGTAACAACCTGACAAAGTAAATAAAATAAGGATGTAACTAACAAATTAACTAAGTAACTAATACTAATAAGGTAACTAAGGAATTCGAGTAAACTTTTTCAGATTTGTGAAAATGGACATTGCGTGCTCCATGCCGATGCACCTCATGTTGACGGTAGGTTAAAAAAAAAAGATTGTGATACTTGTGTATTGTTTTGACTGAGGACATTATTGAAATTGACCTCATCAAATGTTTGAAAATAAGCTTTCATAAAACATGAAATGTAAATGTTAACAAAGTTAAAATATTGTAACAATTTAATTTAATCTTTTAAAAACTAAACTCAAAAGTATACGTTCTCGATTTAATTGTTGATTTGCAAGTACAAAAAAATCTATTAGTGGGATATTGAACTTTTAAATTTTTCCGATTGTTTCAGCTATCTTTTAAGATAAACGTGAAGCAGATATTAATAGTTTAACATGATTTTAATGTGTTTTCTATTTAATGCTTTTAAAAATTCCCAACCTTTGTTATCTATCTACCTATATATAAATCAGTGTGTGTGTGTGTGTGTTTGTCTTTTATGCATTACTACACCGTTCATCTGATCGCCAAGAAACTTTGGGAAGTTGTTGAGAATACTTCTGGAGAGGTTTTTGCGAAAAAAAAAAGAATTCCAAATTCGCAGGAGTGGCGCCCCGATTCTTCTTTATATACGGTATATAAAACATAAAGGTCGATTGCGGTTCGACACCGTTCATCCGAGTGTCATGAAACTTTGGAGATTTATTTTAAAAACTCCAGTGAAAGGTTCTGCAAAAATGTTTTTTAATTTCGCAAGAGCAGCCCCCCGGAAGGACTCGATTCTTGTCAATTCTCGGTTTGGTACCAAGAGTTCCAGAGCGGCTAACTTAGCTCTAATGTTAAATCATTTGTGTGCTCCGGCCCTCTACAGTGTCCGATTTTGGCGCACTGGGTTTTCCCGTGAGCGCAGTGGCACCTACGTTCGTTCTAAACATTGCGATAGACTATGGATAAGATGAGGAGTTATAATCGTTCATTAAATTGAATCGGGCGCGTCCGCCGGCACGCCGGTAGGGTGTGATTTGGCGCCCTATGCTATCCAGTAAGCTCTATGGCGCCTACGTTAGTTTTAAGAAGCACCCTACAATATTGACAAGGCGGCACACAACATTCTATGATTAAACCGAGCGAGGGACCTTACGCTGCGCCACTGTGGTAGTGTAATCGAGCGCCCCTATAGGTTCCTGACACCTGGGCTGTCGATGAAGTATGATCTATTTCACTATTACGGAGATAGATTAACGTACACTAAAGGCGTTCATGCAACATGCCCTGTGGCGGAGCGACAGTGTAGGTAAACCTTTGCCCCAACAAATATGATCCAAGAAATATAGCGCAGGCATTGTTTACATTTAAATAACTTAGTTCTAGCAAACAAGATCATAAGTCTAAAATTATAGGACTGGTAACGCATTGACGAAACCCTCTTAAAATATTTCGTCAGAAATCTTCTACCTGCGGCAACGCGCAGGGACGGGCACGCTTGTTTGTTATTTATTTTATAGATTACTGACCACTGTAAACAATGTGAATGTAAATCTACTTTTCAGTGACGTGTATGTACGGAGACGAGCCGGGTAGGATAGGAGATTTCTCGTCATGCCGCGCCATGGTGGATGATTTCATCGGATTTTGTTCCAGGGACTCGTTGTTTGCCTCTTGTTGCAGCTCATGCAATGCAGTTAAAAGAACAGTTCAGGGTAATATTATAATAGATCCGTATTATAGATCATTAGGTCAATGCTAAAGTCGCATAATGAGACTGCTTAGTCGAATGGTATAGCGTTTGGTTTCTAGCGCAAAGGTCGCGAGTTCGGATCTCAGTCCAGACTCGGGAGTGCAGGACGTGAATGAGTCCACATATATATAAACTCTACTTCATCTGCACTGTTGACAATTTTATTTGTAAGAAGAGCTTTACTTAATGCTGCCTCATAGAAAATAAAATAAAGTATATAATTATATAAAGTATATTCACTTACCTAATTTTAAAATTTATTTGACTTTAACAACAGGTTGCGAGTTTGGAGATTACTATTCGGATTGTGTAGCGTCCAACTGCTACTACACAGATATGCGAACGAAGTGTTGTGAAAAGTGTAACATTGGCGTTCCTTATACTACAAGGAGGACATCAACGACTCGCCCTTCAACTACAAGTTAGTTAAATTAAAGGTCTTCTTTTAAATCGATTCCTTACACACACACACTTATACGCACTTGTAGATATAAACACATAGGCATACACTCACTCACACACACGTATATATATATATATATATATATATATATATATATATATATATATATATATATATATATATATTGTGTATACAAAAATATACATATATAGATATACGTATATAGATAGATGAATATATAAATGAATGGCAATAAGAAATAATTTTCGATAAGTTAAAAAACAAATTAACTTGTCATTATTTATTAATTAATGTTTTTGGATACAAAAATATTTCAATTATCAACTATGTATTTCATTATACTTACTTCGCAATAATTAATTTTGACAAGTTTTTCTATATCTATTCATATCTTTATCATCGAATTTACATGATAATGTTCTTTCTAGTGTAAATTTCAAAGTGTGTTGAGAACATGTACTATGGTCAAAATTGTGTTTTTCAGCAGCTAAACGTTGTACTGACGATACAACATACACAGACGGGGGCAGACATTGTTCGTCCATAGTTCAGAACTCACCTTACTTGTGTTACGAGCAGGAGGTCAAAGACGCTTGCTGCACATCCTGTCAACAGGTCAACACGTCCGAAGCTGGTGAGCCGGTTTCTACTCTTTTTTTTTTTGGAGGATGCTGAAACGCAATAGTTTATCTAGATTGCCTCGTTGTCCGTGTTAAACATTTTAAATACCTAGTGCACTTTTATAATTCCTCAAAACAAGAGAGCAGAGAGGGGCGGTGTTTTATTTGATTTCACTTTTAAGGTATGCTGACGTTGTTATTTCAATTTCCTTAAAAGAATCGAAACAGAATGCTTTTGCTTAGTCATTAAAATACATTCTACTTTTAAATTGTTTAAATAGTTTAAAATAATTTTTGAAATATTGACACAAAAATATCAGAACTCGTATTTTTAAATATCAAATCAAAATAATTTTGGATTTTGTCAACTAGGTCAATATAGGTTTTAATTTACGAAATAAACAAAGTTTCACTTTTGAGCAATAGTACTTAGGCTCGCACTGAGCCCACATTTAGTCGTAGCACTATAATTTTATTTTAAACAGGAAATATAGAAATGAAGATAATAAATCGCTGAGACTATTACAGTCAGCTAGTATCATGAATTTTTTAATGGATTTATGAGGCCACTCAGCAGCAATAAATAGTTCCTGACACTAGTTGGGGAAAGTAAAGGTGGTCGGTGTAGTGCTGGAAAAGCAATGATTTATTATATATCACAGTCAAAGAAACAGCAGATCTACCATGTATGACACAGTGACCAGTAAAGGTGCAATGAAAAAATATTTTTTTTGCTTACCCCTAGCTTTGGCCCTAAAATTACCCAAGTCCTTCCCTTAACCCTAAAGTTGACTGTAACCAATGATAACCCTAGCCCTCACTAAAACTGCGATGCCAACGAAATGAAACAGATTCGATACTAGTTTTATTTTGCTAACATCACATATGTGTTGTTGAAACTACTTTTATTTTGCTTACATTGTTGTAATTAGTTTTGTATTGGTACATATTTAATATATCGTTGTAACTACTTTCGTTTTAACTACACATTTGACCTATTGGTGCAAATCAAAGATGTCCACATTTATATACATCTTGACCAGGGTGTGAGTACGGCGACAAGGCGCCATCTTGGTGTGGACACCCAGACGCCTGCACAAAGTTCCCAGACAAATGTTGCGGCACTTGTTCCAAAACAGGATCCGGTATTGGTTACGGAACAGCAGGCAAGTCCTACATTATTAAAATATTAGAAAAAAAATGCATATTTCTTTGCTTAATTTGTTATTTTCAGAACTTCAACACATTTGTATTTCCACTTTAAAAAAACTCGTATGTCCCTGTTTCATGTTCATTCTCTATAAGTTTAAATGGAAAGTTTGGCTTCAAAATGAAAATAAAATATCTTATTATAAATTATACCGGGAAACAGAAACATAACAAAGTTGACACAGTACGTAGCCCTTTTTAGAGCTAATGAAGATGTTTTAATTGTGGTTCTTAATGAGTGACTATGGACATTCTTATTGATTGACAATGGACAATCATATTAATTGGCTATAGAATAATTTTCGGATATTTTTACAATTTTCAAAAGCCATAAACTTGTCTTCTTAAACCGTATTACAGTTTTCTTAGATGTGAATCATATTTCTTGTATGTAAGATCAAATTGTGTTACTATTAACTAGTTTGTTACACAATTTAAACACTTAGAGAGCAAATATTGACTCAGAATTAGGCTTGTATTTTGTAATTTTATTTTTTTAAATATTGAAGAAAGACACGAGGTAATAACTAATTAAATATCGATAACGTATAAGCCTTTAAATTACACGATCGTTCAATAAAGTCTTTCAAATATTAGAGCATTTCAACACACAATCTGTGTTTTCCTACTGTACAGCTTGTATAGACGAATCTAACTTCCGGTACAACGGAAGAAGCTGCTCGTCTGCCGTGGAGACCTACAAAGGCAACTGTTACAACACAGACTTCCAGCAGACGTGTTGCCGCTCTTGTCTCAATGCTAGGAATGTGCCTAATATTGGTAGGTCCTGTAATAAATGGAAGTGTCGGAGAAAGGGAGTAAACGATACTTAATTAGAAAATTATACTCTATATGTACGTATATAAATAAATTATATATATATATATATATATATATATATATATATATATATATATATAACTAGCTGCAAACACAACACAACACAGCAAACACAAACTCAAACTCAAACACAACACAAACCGGGACGGCTAGTATTGTAGTTTGGTTCAGGTGTCTATAAAAGAGCTTTCTGGTGCGACCGACCAAAACGAATTCCCCTTCGTGCGCAAAAAGACAGACAAAAACGAATGCGCAAAAAAAGACACAAATAATAACCTGCGGAAATTCCTGTTCCCGAATAAAGATGTCTTTTTTTTACGTCAAATGTTTTTGATTAAAAAACTAATTAGTAAACAGTACGTTCAGCGCATGATATAAATAAAAGGCAATATTTAAAATACCTACTACATGCACTTGATCGATCCCTTCTAATTATGTAAGTATTTTTTCCCAACACCAAAACAAAGTAATAAAAAGTCTATTCTTTTCCGCCCAATGTAATGTTTTTATAAAGGGAAGTAGTTGTGTTTTCCTAATTTATCAAAGGACGTAATGAGTGCTCAAAGACAAAATGTAAATAATTTTCAGACATAATAACAATTTGTGCAAAAGGTTCTTTTTTTTTAAAAATTGTGTTTAATGAACATGTTGATAAAATTATTATTTTAAGTACAAAAAATGAAAATTGTTTTAAATCACTTTCGATATTAATTTATTAAATCATAAATTTAGAAGATAAGTACTTTAGTTAGACGTTTAACACTATAAGAATGAGGTCTATTAAATTCTTATATTTCTTAGTAATTTTTTATTACAAACAAATAACAGAATTGAACTGTATATATCTACTTTAAATATATATATATATATATATATATATATATATATATATATATATATATATATATATATATACTATATATATATATATATATATATATATATATATACATATATATATATATATATATATATATATATATACATATATATATATATATATATATATACATATATATATATATATATATATATATATATATATATATATATATATATACATATATATATATATATATAATATATATATATATATACATAATATATATATATATATATATATATATATATATATATATATTATAATATATATATATACATATATATATATATTATATATATATATATATATAAATATATATATATATATATATATATATATATAATATATATATATATATATATATATATATATATATATACTATATATTCTGTTCCTACACGGCAGGCTGTGAGTATGGAGACAGAAATCCGTCCGATTGTCTCCACAAATGCAACAATTACAAAGCTGACTGCTGCGCCCATTGCAACACATCAACCAGACTACAGCTGTCGATCTTCTTAATGGTTATGGTTTCTGCTTTGAAAATGTTCTCAATTTTGTAACTATTCTTGTGTACGTTTTGCACAGCTATAGTGTTCGAGCAAGAACTTTCAAGTTCATACTTACTAAACAAAGTATCTTCCAGATTATTTGAAAACCGTCCCTAACTTAGCAATGAACCTTTTATTGTATCTTTGTATTTTTTAAAAACATTTGTAACATACATTCTGATGAGGTCATACCGATTTTATTTGTGCAGCTTTCAGACTATAGAGCTGATGTAGTATGCGTGAGGAAAGGGGGGGGGGCTTGAATTAGAGGTTTTAAGATATAAAAAAAATGTTTAATATTTTATGTATTTTCAACACCTTAAATAAATAAAAAAATATGTTACCTAATAAAATTGTAATTTAATTTTTATTTAATTAGAGTAATTTCAGCAGGAGTGGTGGGAGGAGGAACCTCATGTATTGAGCCCTCCCCCCCCCCCCCCCCCCAAAGCCAATCGACATAGAAATCATGTGAACGTTCTCATGAGCGACCAAATCTTTTATGCAAGGAAGCAGATTCGTTTTGTTTGCTTATTTTCAGTGCATTTAACGCTTGTTTGCTATACAAGTTTTTTTGCCCTGTGCATTAAATAATGCGTTGCAGTCAAATCTGTCGATTTGCTCGAGCCAACCAAATTTTGGTGACCATTGGAATATTGCGTAATGTTAATCCTACCTCATGCCACGCGCTGTAAGATAAAAAGAGCCAGATTTTCCTATGTATCAGACTCCCTTTCTCCATACAGATGTTGGACACAACGTTATCTATTCAACTTGGAATCAGCAGTGTCGGAAAGGAAACCAGAGTTGGGTAATCATATCGCCTAAGAATCTCTACTCCTGTGTTATTGCGGAGTTTCCTATACTAGATTAATAATAATAAGAGCGGAAGACACGGTCGTATGATAAAGCTTACGACAGCTGATAAGGAAGTCTCGAGTTTGGGTACCTTAATCTGATCAGTTCCTGGTCAGGGATTTTCTCAATCCGATAATTACTTGGTCAGGTGTTTTTCTCAATCCGAGATTCTTGTGAAATATTTAATAAGTTGATTTAAATTGTTTAAAGTGCGAGGATCCATGCAGAGAAAGTAACAAAAAATGTTTTGGTCAACAGAGTGTTTGTAACGTTCCGAAATATAAAATAGGTCCTTTATTCACCTAAAGAAATAGCCATCAATTAGTTGATAATTATTTTCACTTTTATATTATTCTATCAAGAAGCGTCGGCAGTAAAGCACTTCTTTAATAGTTAGCGTTTTGTGACTGTATTGAAGGGAGGTAAACCAGATATAAAATGGTTATCGTTAAGATGATTTGCCTCCCCTATTTTCTTTTTCTACCAAGACGACGGCGGTTTTATGATTTTATGGATGGGCCAAATTATAATGATTGAATATTTTTAATATATTAAAATAATTATTTTAAAATATAAAACTTGCTAAAAATACGTTTCACAAAGTAAATTATTATTTCAGTGATGCAGAGGCCACACTTTGTCTTCAAAAGTCCTACAACTATATAAGTGTTGTTTCATTTTATAGACGACCATAAGTTGCACTAGGATATTTGTCTGATACAATAGTTCTACTAGTTTAAAAAAGCCGCCTTCATCTCGGATACTTGATAATTCAGACACTAACATTTTAAAATTATTATTTTTTAAAAATTTATTAATGATCGGGTTTTGGGAAGCCTAAACTCTCCTCTCTCCCCCCCCCCCCGCCCTGGAAGTTCCGCCACTGGTCTGGTACTACCACAAGTTCTCCCTGACGTACCTGTCTCCTGATTTGTTTTATCCGGCCTGTTAATCACGCATTGCCTTGTACTTATACAGTTTATTATGGTGTCGCACTATCACCTCTACCAGCCAGTGTAGGGTCACGTTTACAATCGAAAAAAACTGATCTAAAGATCAACAATCAATCTAACTGTCGAATCATTAATGGATATAGCGAAGATCAATATATTTTAATCTCTCGCAACGTCGTCTTCATCAATGAGATAAATAATGTCTAGGTACTCGAACCTGAAAAACTTCCTTCTTGGTTATCTTTGCCCTGAAGATTACCATTAATTATAATTATAAACATAGATGGACACGTTTAATTAAAGACACATTTCATCTTTAGTTTTATAACAGTGGATACACTTGTGTTACTTGCCTTGATTTTTACATTAAGACTTAATAAACAAAACACACTAAACCTAGTTCCTTCATTAAGTTTTGAGAAAATAAAGTCCGATTTTAAAGTTCAAACTACCTTCGTGTCACCTCTTCGCAAGATTTTTACTCCACTTTACTAGGGCTAAACAATAGAAAAATAAGGTATGTTTGTTTAGCATTAGTTACCTTACAAATCTTAACAAAATTTACCCGACACCACCAATTTAAGTTGCATCGTGAGTCATTTAAAATTGTTTTGGCATAGAGACTTTAAAAAGTTTATCACAATTAGAATGCTTAATCAATCGCATTGGTGTTTATGTTAGACTTTTAGTAAAACCTCACTATGGGTCTGACAAGGTGGTGTTCTATTTATTTTATTACGCGTTAACCATTTACAATCATCGGAGAAAGTCAAATGCCCCCACACAGTGGCGTAGCCAGAGTCTTCATATATATATATATATATATATATATATATATATATATATATATATATATATATATATATATATATATATATATATAAATATATATATATATATATTTATATTTATATATATTGTATAAATATATATATATATATATATATATATATATATATATATATATATATATATATATATATATATATATATATATATATATATATATATATATATATATATATGAACTTCATTCACCACTGTCCAGCCACTTTCGGTGAATTATCCTACCCAGCGTATAGTATACCTAGGTGTGACAATAATGTCGCTCTACATAATTGTTGTGGTGAGGTGAGGGGGGGGGGGAATAACCAACTCAGAGTGAACGTGGCGTCAGTTTTTAGATGACTGTTCTAAACATACATATACATATATACATATATACTGATTCAGTTAAAGATTTAAATAAGTAACAGTGGTATTATACAGTAAAAATTTTTTTTACAGAGGGGTTCATAGGGGGGGGGGGGGGTTATACCCCCCCCCCCCCTCTAACCCCCCACCCCCCTGCCTCCGCCACTGCCACCTCACCGTACAATGATTTTCATTACCAGTTCCCAAACCACGTAAGCTTACTAGTAACTTAAACCACCCACATCCACACATGTAATTTGTTCTTCATGCTCATCTTTTAAGTCACCAAACAAGCTACGCCCCCCCCCTCCCAACTCCCGCCTCTCACAAAAAATGAATTAAGGCAGAGGTAAGGGATTTATTCTATTAGACATGGGCAAACAACGAGGAGCTGGGACAGAGAAGACACCGGAAGTTGGACGGTGGGATGGTTTATGGGATTGTTTGAATGGGTGGTTTATGGGCTTGTTTGAATGGGTGGTTTATGGGCTTGTTTGAATGGGTGGTTTATGGGATTGTTTGAATGGGTGGTTTATGGGATTGTTTGAATGGGTGGTTTATGGGCTTGTTTGAATGGGTGGTTTATGGGCTTGTTTGAATGGGTGGTTTATGGGATTGTTTGAATGGGTGGTTTATGGGCTTGTTTGAATGGGTGGTTTATGGGATTGTTTGAATGGGTGGTTTATGGGATTGTTTGAATGGGTGGTTTATGGGATTGTTTGAATGGGTGGTTTATGGGATTGTTTGAATGGGTGGTTTATGGGCTTGTTTGAATGGGTGGTTTATGGGCTTGTTTGAATGGGTGGTTTATGGGATTGTTTGAATGGGTGGTTTATGGGCTTGTTTGAATGGGTGGTTTATGGGATTGTTTGAATGGGTGGTTTATGGGCTTGTTTGAATGGGTGGTTTATGGGATTGTTAGAATAGGTGGTTTATGGGATTGTTTGAATGGGTGGTTTATGGGATTGCTTGAATGGGTGGTTTATGGGCTTGTTTGAATGGGTGGTTTATGGGCTTGTTTGAATGGGTGGTTTATGGGATTGTTTGAATGGGTGGTTTATGGGCTTGTTTGAATGGGTGGTTTATGGGATTGTTTGAATGGGTGGTTTATGGGATTGTTTGAATGGGTGGTTTATGGGATTGTTTGAATGGGTGGTTTATGGGCTTGTTTGAATGGGTGGTTTATGGGCTTGTTTGAATGGGTGGTTTATGGGATTGTTTGAATGGGTGGTTTATGGGCTTGTTTGAATGGGTGGTTTATGGGATTGTTTGAATGGGTGGTTTATGGGCTTGTTTGAATGGGTGGTTTATGGGATTGTTAGAATAGGTGGTTTATGGGATTGTTTGAATGGGTGGTTTATGGGATTGCTTGAATGGGTGGTTTATGGGCTTGTTTGAATGGGTGGTTTATGGGATTGTTAGAATAGGTGGTTTATGGGCTTGTTTGAATGGGTGGTTTATGGGATTGTTAGAATAGGTGGTTTATGGGATTGTTTGAATGGGTGGTTTATGGGATTAAATAATGAGACGGCGTGGTTGAGCGTTGGATAGTAGATCGTACACATTGAAGACATCGGTTCCGTTCTAAGGCTAGAGTTCACCAAACTCAGATGGATATTTGTGAAAATATGGGCAATGAAAATGTCGACAGAAGAAAAATGTGAACTTTATATCATCTGCCCTATACACGCCATGTCTGAAAGTGTAGCTTTGACTTTTTTTTTGGAAATGAAATCGTGGTTTATGAACATGCTAATTTAAATAGTTCTGGTGATTCATAAAACAGAATTTTGAACTAAAAATTACTTTTGCTGATAAAGAACATTTTTAAGGCGTTTTGTACTTGTTATCTTACTGGACTTGACTTGCCCGCTTTATTTTGTCCGGGTTTAAAAGTCATAAAGTGGAACATTTTAACGTACATATCTTAGGAGACTGTCGGACGATAAGGTTAAGCTCGTTAAATACACGCTGGTGAGAAAGAAGAGTATGATAGATAGTAATGACAGCGTGACTAGAATGTTTTATGATATTTGGTATGGAAAAATATGCTTCATTTAATCGTTGTAGATGTGGGAGAAACTGTTGGTGATCCTATATATTATGTATGCTATACTATCATTGAAGAAATAGCTGTGGTTATTAACAGTTTTTCTATCATACTTTTTTCTCCAGGGGGGGGGGGGGGGGGGCTAGATATTTTCAGGGGAGGGGAGGAAAACTAAATCTTCCGGGGAGGGGGGAGACAATGATAAAAAATGGAAATTGTCTATAGAAATTACATTTAGTTCGGGGGGAGGGGGTAAGTTAAGAAATGCCTGGAAGAAACTCTGGTTATTGATTCTCTTCACTGATGTATGGGGGTATGGGCGGCTGATAAAAAGAAAAGTTGTCAAAAATGCTGCGAACTGATGATAGGCAAGATATACGCTGCTATACAAAAGTGGAATACAAAATCGTTGTTAATTCGTGGATTTGGTTGTATTATTTTTTTTTAGAAGTTACAGAAATGAAGAAAACTTTACAATTAAAAAAATAAGAAAATAAATAAATCCTGTATATATATATATATATATATATATATATATATATATATATATATATATATATATATATATATATATATATATATGTGTGTGTATTGTCCATGGTATCATTTGTCCTGATATATTTTGTCCTGGTATCTTTTGTCCGTGAGATCATTTGTCCTTGAGATCATTTGTCCTGAGATCATTTGTCCTGAGATCTTTTGTCCGTGAGATATTTTGTCTGAGATATTTTGTCTGAGATCATTTGTCCTGAGATCATTTGTCCTGTCACAGTATATATACATATATATATATATATATATATATATATATATATATATATATATATATATATATATATATATATATATATATATATATATATATATATATATATATTTATATTGGGACGATGCGATAGTCACTACATTGTAAGCATTACGGTGAGAACCAAAATATTTTTTTTTTAAAATAACACAAGAGTTTTTAAAAATGTATGAAGTAAATGCATTTTTATAAAGGTTGTAAATTTTTGTTGAGTTTCTGCTAACACTCCCCTGGATATATTCCGCTCCTCCTCGAACACTCACGAGCCTCCCCAATACTACACCCCCTAGTACCCGTCCACCACCTCCAACCCCTTATCCACGTCTCCCTTGAAAGTCTCACCTACCAGTTAGACAACATTCTGGAATTTCAGCGACATCCTTGTTCCGGGGTCATATTATTAACTATAATATGCTGCTATCAGTTTTTTAATCATTTGTTTATAAAGATTAGAACAGAAAAAAGAAATTACGTAATATTTTGATTCAAACCGTCATTTATAAAAATCGTCTTGTATTGCAAAGTAATGTATATGCAGTGTACACCTTCAAAACAATAATACGAGTGTTTAACCTTTTACACATTATTTAATGACGGATACAAATAAAAGATTTTTTAAATTTCGGAGAGCAAGGAACAAGGAGCGATTCTTCAAAGCTATTCGATTAATTTAAAACTAGAAGTAAGTATCTTTATATATAATTCTCTTCTGGGAGACGCTAGAAAACAAGCTGTAAATGCGCTCCCTACCACCCCCAACCCCACATGGTCTGGTGAGCTGTGGTTCACTCTAAATGTTTACAAGCAGAGCCGGGTTTAGTAACGGCTATTAGGGGCGGATAATTTAGTTTGAAACGATTTTAAACGTAGGGGGGGGGGGGTAACTAAGTGGAGTTTACTTTAACGGAGGGGGGGGGGGGGGAGGAGGGGTGTTATCGTCCTTAACGAGCTACTTATAGTGTTTTAAAGAAATATTTTCAGTGGCAGCGTTGGTAGTGTCGAATTTACAAATTATGAATAACTGAAAAGTAGAAAAAACAACAACTAAATAGCGGCGTATGATACGCCGCGGGTCGGCTCGTTACAATTAATTTGTGTTACGAAATGACTGTACCTGATACTGGATCTAGGCCACATCTATGAGGAAGTAGAGATAACAAAATTGTATATAAGTACGCTCTTACTATGGTCATCGTTTTGAAGATTAGATTTGTTTGCGTTCTTTTTAGGACATAATATTTAGGTGCACGTCGTCTTATGTTACCTACATTATGCATTTGCTGATTATTGATACATTTTTAAACTAAAGTTTTGAGTTAAAATAAACTTTAACTTGATTGTGGACGTAGATCATAACAATTTGACATTATTAAACGTTCAATAGTGTAATATTTTATTTTGTAAAATGAAAACTTAAAATTTAATTTTTCATTTCGGTGACATACAAATCTATGACTAATCAGTGTTTAAATTATTTTAAACCTATCTTTCATACAAAATAAAACCGACATTAGAAAAAACGCTAGTCACTTGTGTACATATTTCAAACCAACTTCACAATGACGCCCTTGGAGGTTTTATTTCTTGCACTGGCAGTCTGCCATACTCTAGATCTTATTAGCAGTCAAGCAGGTATGACGTTTAATGTAAGATAACAACATTTAGTAGACTATCTAATTAGCATTTTCTGTCCAGGACATACGATTAGACACAGATATTATCTTATAATATCTGGCTAAGTTTGTAACTCGAGTTAGTAAACAGGAGTAACTTAAGTTATACCAAACACAGAACACGCCAATGAAGTGAAGGGAAAGGAAAACAAAAACATAAACGATTTAAGGGGAAGGCTCCGGTAAAAAAAAACTTTTTTAATACTCGTTAGAAAACAGTTTTTTTCTTTACAGCTTTATTAAGATACACTTTTATTAAGATAAAAACTTAACTTTGGAGAATTTTGGGGCATTAAAACTAGTGTTTTGAACGGACACAAAATTTGAAAATTCATAAAAAATTAGTTTGAAGATATGCACTTAAAATTTTTAGCTGAGTGCCCCAAAATATGGAAGAAAATTATGAATTGATTGTTTATTGGGCTTAAAATGTCATATTTTATGAATGGTGGAAAACCTACGAAGGGGTTAATTTTTCAAGATGGCCGCCGTTGTCATAGTTACCAAGATTTTTCCAACATTTTTTTTTAGCAGAAATGCATATGCGGATGTATCTTATCAAAACTGTTTTCTAACGAGTATTAAAAAAGTTTTTTTTACCGGAGCATTCCCCCTTAATTTAAAAAAAAAATTGTGTTAAGTTCTACGGTTAGTGCCATGATTAAAACATCACAACCCCATCATGCTCATGCGAGTGTTTTCACAGAATACCCACCCAAATCAATTGAATTAAAAAAAATTCTTTGATTTCCATAGTTGAGGTTGACTATACAACTCTTGAAGTTGAAGGTCAAATCCTCCCCGACCTTGTGAACGTGACCTTGACGACAGACACCAACACGAGCCACCTGCAGCTGAGCCGTGTCGAGCACATCCACCTGGACATCCCACTGTACTCACTCAGTGTCGACTCGAATGGAACTTTTTCTCAGAGACGGGAGAGCTCACGTCACAGGAAGGTGAGGTTAACACAGCCTATTTATTCTGTATACCAAAAGTCAAGTCCGTATAGATCCAGAGTTACGGTTCTTCTGTTTCTTTTGTTGTTTTTTTCTTTGATTCCTTTTGCCATTTAACTATTTCTTATTGTTATAGTTCTAATATATTCTTTTTCTGAGAAAAACTATTCTTTTTCTCTTTTCTTTTATAAACATGTTTGATTTCTATTTCTATTATATTTTATCTATGCATTTAAGAATGATTTAAATGTGTTATCTAAAAAGTTATAATATTAATATAGTAATATATATTATAATTAACTATAATACTTATAGACATTGTTTTTATTTTTGTTGCTTACATTTAGACTACATTTAATTTATAGATAAAGTTTATTTTGAAACTGTATTTTTATCAAAAGATACATTTCAAATATATTTTTTTATCGATTTAATTAAAGTGTCCTTAATATCTCTCAAGATTTATTTATATTCGGGGAGCACGTTAATTTATTATATGCTAAAATACGAATCATTTGACACAATGAAATTATTTTCTCTGCTGATCAGAACATCGGCTACTACCAGGACATACACAGTGAGGCCGTGTTTCAGCTGACAAGGACCAACAACATCAGGGAGAAAAAGGCCAAGCTGATCATAGTAAAACTTGCTTTCAGTTCTCTGACTTATCACATTTAGAAAATAGTTTAGTTAGTTCTTTATCGTGCTGTAGTGTTTGGTCAAACTACGGCGTGTATAGCGGTTTTTTTTTAAAAGGCTAACTACTTAATTAAAGTTCAGAAGTATTTGGAGTAATCTCAGGTAGTAATTATAGTTTCGTTATGTAGATTCGAAACTTTTATTTATTCCTCACAAGGGAAGGGGAGGTTGTACTTTAACAGGAAGACTGGCGTAAATTTGACTGTACGCCCAACTAAATAATCTTAAATATAGTAGTACCCCCCTTACCCGCTATATAGGACGCCTGATTAACGGATACCAAGTGCTTAAATAGCCGCTCTGGAACTATGGGCGTCAATCCGTGTATTGACAAAAATTGCACCCTCACATAAGAAATTTTAAATTTATTCGCAGAAAACTTCTCGAGAGTGTTTTTATCAACTCCGCAAAGTTTCATGGCACTCGGATGAACGGTGTTGAACAGCATTTTATTTTTTATTAACCGTATATAGAGAAAAATCGCAACGTCCAGTGGCACCGCCCTTGCGAAATAAAAAAAATGTTGTTTTTTTTTTTTTTTTGCATAAACCTGCCCTTTAGTGTACTAGTCTTTCGAAGAGCCTGGCACGTCGGACTCCCAAGTCCCCTACATAATAACGTGGGGGAGGAGAGGTGCAAGACTGCCGAGAACCAAGAAGGGTTTGCTCTCGACCATAACCAGATATCTTGACTTTAAGCTGCGGTCTTCGCGTGGCTTCGGAAGAGTGCCACTAGTCGGACCAAGCTCATGACCCCCCCTAATAGGTGCGGAATGGCTAGTGGTAGCCAACAGAAGCTAGAGGTTTTTGATCTGGCCGAGTAGAACTGCTGTATGCGCTAGGTTCAAAGAATGGCCGAACGCCCCCCACGATCAAGCTGGGTACCAGGCGGTAGGACGACGTCCCGCGTCTGGTGGGTGGGGAAGGAAAGCCCGGTGAGAGCCGACGGGAGTAGCGACCGATGTGTGGGAAACTCTAGTGGTCGGAGTTTGCTACACTGAGGCCTGCCTGGCTAATGGAAGTCAACCTTCTGAGCCGGTTTCCGTATAAGGAAGGAAGGGTACCAATCAACTCCCCAAAGTGTCAAACCGCAATCAATTTTTATTTGTATATACCGTATATAGAGAAGAATAGAATCGCGCCCTGCCGGGGCCCCTAGCCTGCGAATTTGAATTTTTTTTTCTCGCAAAAACTTCCCCAGGAATATTCTCAGCAACTTCCCAAAGTTTTATGGCGATCGGATGAAAGGTGTAGTAATGCATAACAGACACACACACAAACACACACATACATGGCTTTTTATATATAAATATATCATTTACTACAACAATTTGGTGATAAATTGCAAATATCGTCGACTCTTGCTACTTTTGAAATAATTGATAAGTATGATAATACACAAATTAAAATCTAATAGCACGCTTTGATATTTTTTTTCAGAAAGGCGAATACAAACACAATGACGAGAGATACTTCATCCAACCGGAAGTAACCCCTGTCCAACAAGCAACGACCAGTAGGTTGCCTAGCGACGAAGTTGTGTACACAAGAACGCTGAAGAGAAACCGACCAGCCGGGAACATGGATTACGTCATACCACGTGAGTGCCAGATAACAAAAAATACTCCAATGGGTTATCTAAATATTAAAACACTTCACATAGTCTCACTGTCAGTGTACTGATAGTGAGACTCTCACTATTATATACTTTGATAAACTAGTTGTAATTTTATTGCTTGTTAAAATTAAGACACTACTAGTACGAAGTGGTATCAAGATTTTATCTTTCTCTGCAGTTTTTGATGATAGTAAACTTCCTTTTTATACCTAACGGTCAATTGCGTATGTGAATTAGAGTTAATATGTTTATTAAAGTCGACATAAGAAGGGATGCTATGGTCAGCACTATGTCCAGCCGTCTTTACTTTTCTAAATATAAGTCAGGTACCGATAAGAGCTTGGTGGACTCACGGGCGTCATACAGTCGTAAGGTCGAAACGAGAATCGAATTTGAGCAGCTAAATGCTGTAGGCCTACTATTCAACCACACCCTTCCACTCTTGCTGGTAGAAAGTGAAAGTTGATTTAAAACTAGGACCAGATTAAGTCATATGGTTTTTGCAAAGAGTGAGTCCAGTGTTAGGGTTAGGTTAATAATACTGCTGAAAATAGCGTCTTAATTATCTGCACAATTTTGAATAAATATCTGAGTTTGTTGTATAATTGAAGAAAAATTTAGAAGACAGTTGTACAAATGTGTTTCCTCCGTCTTTAATCCTTAGAAAAATAAACTGGAGTGATCCCCCTAAACTTTCACGAATATTCTTATATAACACTAAGGTGGATGGCAACTCGGGACATAAACATGATTTTTAATCCATTTTTAGTTACTTGAACTTTTTAAAATAGAATAAAACGAGCCGACCCGCGGCGTATCATACGCCGCTATTTAGTTGTTTTATTTTCTACTTTTCAGTAATTCATAATTTGTGAATTCGACAGTACCAATGCTGCCACTGAAAATATTTGCTTTAAAATACTAACCCCCCCCCCCTTTCCCCTAACCCCGACCCTACCCCCCCCCCCCCCCTCCCACCGTGAAAGCAGCCTCCTCCTAGTTACCTCCTCTAAGTTTAATAATAATCATTAAAAAAGTTTTTAAAAACCCACGTTTTCTGATTGAACTAAAAAGTAGAAAATAAATGCTATACATCACAATAATGCAAGCGATCACTCTTGTTTTCTAATGGCTCGCAGAGGAGAATTATATATATAGATTATATAGCGGTCTAAAATGCTCAATAAAATGTTTCCATGAATCAATTTAGTAATAATAACAATTGAATATTCTAATGTCATCCAAAACAAAGCTTCCCTGAAAATTTCAGCGCGCTAGCTAACTGGGAAGGGCCAGAAATTTCGATCGCAAGATTTGATTGGAAAGACAAACAAACAGAGACGAAAGCAAGTTAAAGAAAACGTGTGAAAAATCGTTTCAAACTAAATTATCTGCCCCTAATAGCCGTCACTAAACCCGGTTCTGTTTGTAAACATTAGCGTGACCACAGCTCACCAGACCATGTGGGGGGGGGGGAGTGGTAGTGATAGAGAGGAAGAGAGGGGACTGCAAGGCGAGCTTGCAGCTTGTTTTCTAAAGTCTCCCAGAAGAGAATTATATATATACGAGCCGACCCGCAGCGTATCATACGCCGCTATTTATGTGAATTCTACAGTACCAATGCTGCTACTGAAAATATTTACTTTAAAACACTAACCCCCCCCCCCCCCCCCCCCCCCCCCCCGTGAAAGCAGGCTCCTCTTAGTTACCTCCCCTAAGTTTAAAATAGTTTCAAACTAAATTATCTGCCCCTAATAGCCGTCACTAAACCCAGCTCTACGATTGTAAAATGTAAACATTTAGAGTGAACTACAGCTCACCAGACCATGCGTGGGTGGGGGAGGTTGATTTATGCCTAGTGAGGAAGAGAGGGGATTGCAAGGCGCGTTTGCAGCTTGTTTTCTAACGGCTCCCAGAAGAGAATTATATATATAGATAGATATCGTAGAAAAAAAGAATTGCACACAAAGTGATTGACAAACAGTATGTGTATAATAGTGCGGAATATTATTAGTACATATGCGTTTTTTGAGAAATTGGAAATAGCGTTAATTACTACTTCCGATCAAAGGGAAGTTATCATAATTTGACAGACGTCGGAGAATTAGATCTTTTACTTACATGTGAAAATTCATTTATCCATTTGAAACTGAATTCAAGTTATAGTTTTTGAAAAACTAAAAGTAGAATAAGTTTTACTTCCGGTTATCGGAAATCGCTGAAACGTTGATACAGAACTACACATTTGACATAATATTTATATATGACATTGCATCAACCTAGCTGAATCGGTACGCAAGTTATTGTGTTCACAGACACCCAGACACACACACACACACACAGACATACGGACAAAACTATGATTTTTCCGACTCAGTTCCTTTATACTTTGTATACGAGAAAGTAAAAATTATTTTTGATACATTTCCCAAAATTTAAAATTTTTTAAGAAGAACACACTATTAGTAGGGTTCAAAAATAAAATATGCTAATAAAATCATACTAGTTAGTCTGCCATATAGCTAGAACTTAATCTCGGCAAAGAATCTTCCAGGCAACTCAGTCTTACGGTAGTTGCTCTGACCGCTAGTTAGAGCTTGACATTCAACGAACATAGAGAGACGATTTACACTTTCAGCCAATATGGTACGCGATCATCGTCTTTTCCCGTTCGAACCCAAGACACACGGGGCAGATAAAGAAGAGCTCGTCTGATTAAATGACCTCGGCTTATGAAGGAATATTGTGATCAGTTGCACCCCCCTCCCTCCACCACAACCCGGAGAAAATTTCCCGAAAACAAAAGCAACTGGTAAAGCTAATCTATGAGCTCGTATAAATAGTACAGTGAGGTCAGCGATATGTTCAATGGTATGCCTTACAACCTCTACCTTCTTCGAATTAACTCCAAAACGTATGACAGCAGGGCATTGAGTTTTGTATTATTTAGATATATTACCAGTTGTTGTTTTTTTGTCTTTTTACAGCACCGGAAATTCCTTTAAAAAGACAACACAACAGATTGAACTTGACCCTTAAATAATAATCATTAAAAAAGTTTTAAAAAACCCACGTTTTCTGATTGAACTAAAAAGTAGAAAATAAATGCTATAGGCCCTACATCACAATAATGCAAGCGATCACTCTACTATAAGCGATCAAAAACGTGGGGCGCCGAAGTAAAAGTTATATTACTATTGATTAGATAATACTATTGACTTTTATTAGGGAGCTTGTAGAGAGTCAACAGTATTAGAAACTGTAAGAAAATCACGGCGCCCCACGTTTTTGCTCGCTTATAGTAGAGTGATCGCTTGCATTATTGTGATGTAGGGCCTATAGCATTTATTTTCTACTTTTTAGTTCAATCAGAAAACGTGGGTTTTTTAAAACTTTTTTAATGATTATTATTTTCTACTTTTTAGTCTTTGTCTGTTTGTTTGCATTAAAATCTTGCTATCGATTTTATCTTTTCACTTTTTTTGGGTAAAAGAAGACAACTCGTAAAAAGACAACTCGTAAAAAGACAACTCGTAAAAAGACAACTCGTAAAAAAAACGTTGTTTGAATACGTTACTGACTAGAACACATAGATTTGAACCCGTGTCGAGTGGGATAGCAATCGTGTGCCCAACCACTCGACCATATCGTCTCCCCCAAACTGGCCTACCTCCTGTAAGTTTAAACTCGGTTCAAGCTAAATTCTCTGCCCCTAAGCCTGTGGCGACATGTGATCGTTCGCTTCACTGCGCGCGAGGTACGCGTCGCTGGTTTTTTTTCTAATGGCTAGCAGAGGAGAATTATATATATAGATTATATAGCGGTCTAAAATGCTCAATAAAATGTTTCCATTGATCAATTTAGTAATAATAACAATTGAATATTCAATGGTCATCCAAAAGAAAGCTTCCCTGAAAATTTCAGCGCGCTAGCTAACTGGGAAGTGCCAGAAATTTCGATCGCAAGATTGGATTGGAAAGACAAACAAATAAATAAATAAATAAACTCACAGAGAAAGCAAGTTAAAGAAAACGTGGGAAAATCAAACTTTGAACGCTTCGTCGGATCAGTCCCCACCATCCAAGCGTGACCGACGCGCGGCCGACTCGACCTATTACATTGACGTCATCGCAGTCATCGACTACGCTGTCTACAATCATTTTTACCAGAGGTCTAACAACAGGACAAAAGCTATGGAGGACATACATGAGTACTACGCCTTTATCTTCAACGGAGTGAGTAGGCACATTTAATAATTGGGCTAGTTCGAAAAATGGAAATTTATAAATCTGCATATATTATTAAGGGCTTGTAAGTAGGTCACCAACTTCTTATCGTACTAGCCAGCTAGTATTTTTCAAACCAATTGTGAATATGTTTATTAAATCGGTAAAAAAAGAAATAAAAGTTACTTACGCTATTGTTAAGTTATTTAAAATCGTAAAAAACTGATAATGATAGTTTGATAATTCACCTGAACCTGGCTAACGAGATTTCAAGTTTTAAGTAAGAGAAGAAAAGAGACTTACAAGCCCTATTTAGGCGACGCCATGAAAAAATTAATTTCGTACTTTATATTTAATTTCTCTTTACACAAATTGTTGAGACTTTAGACAACGGCTCGAGCGATTACTTAGTACGGTTTTAAAATTGGTATTAAAGCTGAGAAAAGTGATTTTTTTTCTCAATTAATTGGTTTATTTTTATAAACATATTTGTATAACGCTTTTTTCATTAACCTTACCCAAAACAGGGGAGACGGTAAACTTCAAACAATTTACTAACGACTTTTGAATTATAAAAACATTTTTTATCTTTTTTTTTCCGTTGGGGCAAATGTCAGTTCGGAAAGAGAGTATTTGGCAAGTGTATTTTGTAGTGGGAGAGAGTCAGACGCTGTCATTACCTGACAACATAATCTGACAAAGAAAAGTGTTAGCTAAATATATAGGTCATAGCAAAGTGACGCAACATAACTTTTTGCTAAAGCATTCATGAGACTAAATAAAAAGTTATTTTACATAACATTTTACAAATTAATTAAGGTACATTAAAATATTTTGAC